ACAGAGAAAAGCTGACAAAACAGAGAGGTAGCCTGCTTATTAAGGGTAATTTAATGAAAAAGGTACACAGTACCACAAAATAAATCACTATACTTTGTCCAAATAGAAAAAGCAAAACTTTGGAAATTGATGCATTAAACACTGTTGTTTTCCACGCTGGCATTCATTAAGGTTTATATGGATCTCATCAGTATGCAGTTCTGTTTGCAGAGGTTACTTTCAACTTAAATGATGCTAGACAACTTCACTAATTAATCAGAAGAAAATCTCAAAGTTAATTTATTAAGTTGAATTTGCTGTATCTGCCATCAACCACAAGTAGGATGGAACAAATCAGACCAACAAAGTGCTGATAAAAAAAAATACATTATCTTAATTACTACTGTACACCATCACCAGGCAGGGGAAAGAATCCTGTGAAGGAGTGATTTTTCCCTAATAGTATTAGGAAACTGATAATCATAAGTCTCATACATTAAGGCAATTCTTAACAGTTACAAGAGTATAATAATCAACATCTTACTGCAAACCACAGTTAAAAATGTATTGAACATTCTATTGATATTACAAAGAAAATGAGCAGCACAGGCTGACGGTTATGATTCCTACAGAAGTTGTAATTGAAAATAAAAAATAAAATGTTTGGCAACTGAAGCTTTGCTTCAATTTTCATAGTTACCACAGAGGGGTAACTGAAGACTGAACTTGGGTTTTGTTAACAATTTGGAAACACTGACATACAAAAGTGGCATGCTCAAAGGAATCAACATATGCAGACACCCACACGCTGACACTGAGGTTTATATTTCTGGGACAAAAATATATTCTTCAATAATGATTTTCTTCCTTCTATGTCACTCATCTGCCTTAAACAATCCCAAACCTGTAAATATTCACTCAAAGGAGTGAGCTATCCATGGACAGCACACTGCCATGGCTGAGCAGAGCCCCTGAGTGCAGGTCCCAGCTCTCTGCAAAAGCACAGCTTGTCAGAGCTGTACCTACAGACCCAAACCACTCTGCACAAAAACCACGTGGACACGTCCCCAGCCGAATGACCCTGCTCCCTCTCACTGGGACAGTTCTGGACAGAGCAGATCTGCTCCAAACCCTCACAGTCTGGAGGCTCATACAGCCCAAATACAGTCACTGCTGGGGATGAAGCGCTCAGAGCCCTAAGCCTGGCACACTTGAAGTGCACTTGTAAAACTAGAGCACTGCTTATTTTAGGCACAGCAGAGGAAAGGTGTCTGAAACAAAGCTGTCAGTCTGTGCAGAGCAGCAGCAGGTGATGGAGAGAGAAAAGGAACCAGGTACAAAGACACAGATTACAAGGGAGGAAGAGAAGGGAAAAGGGAAAAGGAAAGAAATAATAATCCAAAATGAGATTAGTCTTAAGAGCTGAGCATGTTTTCCTGCACTGAAAAAGACAAGAAGCTACCAAGCAGACTACCCATTTATTTTACTGCTGGCTGTGGGTAAATATGAGCCATGCTCCTCCCCAGTAACCCTCCACTGGAAACTGGGGACAGAACTGCTGTAGGAAGAGGAAATAAAGAGGCTCAAGCAGCCCCAGCACTTCCAGCAGCACGTACCCCATCATTTGGCTCCCGCTAAGCACGAAATGCCACATGCAAAGGTGTCTTTATGTGCTGCTGTGCTCTGCAATCAGCCCCAAGCAATTGCTGTGCATCACTTCTCTGCACAAGCCAGATGTGAGCTCCATCCCTGTCACTCCAGTGGGCAATATTTTTGCACTGTATTTTCTTCTGAAAACACAATGCAAATATTTAATCACTGGCTTTCCAGATTTCTGCCGTGGGGCTTTTCTTTGGCTGAAGAAGGCTCCAGAGATCATTTAGTTAACCATGCACATTGGATGGAGCTTCTCAGCTGCAGTAGATGAAGCAATGAAGCTGGAAAGAACAAACTCTAAATCACTAAATTATAAATTAACAAGAAGACCTAAGGAGTAAATATTTAGAAGAGCTCACTGAAGCCTTAAGGATAGGAGCATCATGACTAATTATTCCAGTGATCATTGAAACATGGAGTTAGGAAAGATCAGAAACAAGAGAAAAATAAATCTCACCAATTAGACACATAAATGCAGATTAATGCCATATGACTAGCTACCACATGAATATGCAACACACTTATTAAAATGTTAATACAGCATTCGCAGACAATCTAATTTTCATTTTTAAATAGTCAGCTGCAGAAATGTACAACTGTAGTTCTTTTTCTCTAACTTCATAATTCAGAAGTAAAAGGTGATTTGTTCAGAGTATAAAAAACATCAGTGAAGTTTAAGGATGAGATATAGTAAATGTAAGCAGCAACAGAAAACTAAATTCAATGACCAAAACCGGTATGTTGTAATGACAGAAAAAGTTCTTAAAAACAAGGCAAAAAAATCCCCAAACAAATAGAAAAGGAAATAAGCATTGAAAAGCTAAAACAATTAATTGTTACTTCAGTGTAGAGAATTTTTTTTCAGTTGCATTGTGTGCCCAGATTTCATTTTGCAACTACGAAAGTACTGTCAGTCATAAAAGAATAACAAATTGTTTATAACAGAGACACTTAAAGTAATTAGTTAAATAATTCAGAAGACTTATTTAAGCTAATCTCCACAGTCATACAACTTCTCATCATTTGTTTCAAAAAGAACTCCTAGCACATTTGTTTGTTGTTATTCAGGACAGCAGAACTGCCGGAGGCTGCAGCGAGAGCTGAGAGCAGGTAATTAACACAAGAAGGGAAAGGCACAGAGGAAACTCCAGCCAAAATCTCAGCCCCCCGAGTCTGCCCAGCAGCAGAGAATGGCAGTGGTGGCAGACAGACATCTCCACTGCACAGGCACACAGAACACAGGAGATGCAGCAGTTTGGTATTGCAGCACCAGTGAGAGGCAAGCCCACTGCACTCAGGGGGGAGTTAGGGAGCCAGTGGAGACACATCCCTCTCCTCTTACTTCCCCTGGTTACTATCAAGAACAAAAATTCTGTGAAGTGGGATGACAGCCATCCCCGACTATAATTTCAGACCACTGTACCAAGCCTCAGACATAAAATAAGGTTAATAAAGTTTTATTTTGTACAGCTTTTAGAGGGACTTGAGAACAAGTCTGTTTAAAACAGCAGTGACGAAAGAGACATGAAGAAGATGTGACTATCGTAACACACAGCTTTGCCTTTGTATTTCCACACCAGATTATAGATCTATTTTCTGAGCAGAAAGGAAGTAAGGCAGATATCTCTGCCATTCAACAGTGTGGGTGTAGAGCTGTCCTGGTTTCAGCTAGAATAGAGGCAATTTTCCTCCTGGCAGCTGGTGCAGTGCTGCATTTTGGAGTTCTGGGAATAACGCTGACTCCACCGTGACACTTGGCTGGCGCTGAGCAGTGCTCACCTGCACTCAGGGGCTTGTCAGAGTCTCATGCTCTGGCAGTGAGCAGGTGCATGAGGAGCTGAGAGGGAGCACAGCCAGGAGAGCTGACCCCAGCTGGCCAGGGGATTTTCCACACCTGGGAACACCATGCCCAGGATATAAACTGGGGGAGTGGGCTGTGAGCAGCTGATGGCTGCTTGGGGAATGGCTGGGCATTGGTCAGCAGCTGGTGAGCAATTTTACTGTGCATCACTTCTTTTTCTTGGGTTTTACTCCTCTTTCACTCTTTCCTTTTCATTGCTAGTACTGTTGTTATTATTTTGTATTATTTTACTTTATTTAAATTATTAACCTGTTCTTATCTCAACCCATGAGTTTCTCTTCCCCATCCCAGGGAGGGAGGGAGGGAGTAAGGAAGTGGCTGCATGGTACTGAGTTGCTGGCTGGAGTTAAACCAAGACAAGGGTATTTCTGAAACACTGGCTCTTTTGCAATTACCCTAAGTCATGAAATGTTGCACTGAACTGTTTTCTTTTGAAATTATCTATTACCTGGGTATTGCAGACTACTGTATTCAGATGTGCATGTAATAAACATTTTATCCATCCCATTCATTTTATCCATTCTATCCATCCACTAGTCTAATTCTTAAGACTCTTAAGTGAACAGATAGCTGATTCCGAACATGAAGATTTTATAATTTTCAACCTATTCTAACCTTGCCTCCCTCACCTGCAGTATAGCTTAAGGGCCATCACAAACAATCCAGAGATCTTTCAGTGTTTTATTTGATGAATTTGATCATGAGCTGTATGGCCAACAAGGAAAACTATACCAACAGCTTGAAGCTAACCAGTGAGGACACCAGGAGCATCCTGCTAACCAAAGACCACACAGCAGCCCAAAAGACCTTTATCCTAGAAATGAAATATTTCAAAAGCTCCCCTAACTGCAGGCTCTTGGGGCTAAGAGGAAGAAGTTCCTGCTAACCACTGCCCTTGGGTGACAAGCTCATTTTGATGCAACATCTAACAAAATGAGGATTTCCTGCACAGCTGTTGCAGTGTCCTTAGAGACTCAGTTTCCAGGCACTCTTTGCAATCGTCCCTCTGCTCCCTCTTAATTCCAGTCAACAGCAGCCACAGGCAGATTACATAGCTGGGGCATTACTGACACAACCAGGAGCCTATAATAGCACTCCTAAGCCCAGTGATTTCTTTTCTCTTGTCAGTGTCACACACAAACACAAAACAGCTGAGAACCTGGCCCTTTTCTCTTTAACAATCCACTAACAACTAAAAAATATCTCTTTATTTTGGTAATCAAATGAAATAAATATAATCATATAAAGCACAGGGCTAATTTTAGACCTAAATACTGACAAGATCTGTGGTAATTCCTGCTAAGTGTCAGTGGCCAGGATCTCCACAGCATTTATAAAGCTTTACTGTTCACTAACTTAGGCAACTCTTCCCCTTGTGAAATGTACTAAAACACTGGATAAAAGACAGATATTGCAAAATATTTTACAAGCTATAAATTGAAGAAAAGAGCATCAGCCAGAAACTTTGTTTTATATTTCTTTCAGAAAAGCAGCAACTACAAACCTGGCCATCTGCTTGTATGCTTCCTCAGCCACTGCAAAGATGTGTGGATCCATGTCCCCCATGTTCTGGCCACTGTAGGCATTGATGATGTCTTCGCCATAGATAGGCAGCTGTTCATAAGGATTTATGGCCACTAAAACAATACCTACAAAGGAAATTAAACAAAAGGAAAACTTAATAGTTGTTTCCAAAAAAAAACAAAACAAAACAAAACAAAAAAAAAAAAACAAACAAAAATGGTTTTAAAATCAACTATTATTATAATCTTTCTAAAAATGTTAAAGAATAAGGATCTGATATTACTGATTTCAACAGATATTTATTCTGAATATAGTTCTGCACACACAAAGTACCATGAGTTTACTTCTACCCTGCTTTGGTAAACACATCAGGGACAACTTTATACCTTTTCTATCTATCTGCCTTTTCTAAAGCTAGCATGCACAACCCAAAAAGATTCAGAATGTGCAGATTGAAATGCTGCCTGTTCAGCTCAGTAAACCAATGAATGTGCATTGTATTTCCCTGTGTTTTACTCTGAATTACCAGTGATACTGTAATTTGTGAAGTATTGGGTGAGAGTGGGTGGTCTCACTGACTGCCAGTTTGGGTATGTGCAGTGTGTTAACCCTTCAGCTGTTGTAAAAGAATAACATCCTCAGTTTTTGTAATAAGCAACAATGTACAGAGACAGTGTAATTTGGATTCCAGGGCACCTCTGCCAATCAGGCAGGACAACCTCCTGGTCAAAGGCATAAAAAAAAACAACAGTAGACATATTTCACAGGGCTGACACAGAGCAGCACCCAGTCATGTCAGGAAATTAGGCAATTATAGCTCTAGAAGGCACCAGAACACCCTTATCTGATACATCTGAGCATGTACTCACACCTCCCATTTCCTAGTTTTTCCATACCTATTAAACACATATCTGTTTTTTCAATACCACTCATCACTACAGCACTTCTAAATTCATGCCACTCTTTTACTCTCCCTGCACTGGAAAACTTAAGTCTTACTCTTCACAAACTTCCTTGCCGCAAATAGTGAGACCTCAAAAGTTTTTGGGACAATTCTCTTTTTCATGAGAAATGAGGACTGCTCTACCTACAGGGATAACCTGACAAAGATTCCTTATAACTTTCTCTCCTGCAGCATTTACAACAAGCAGGGAAGGTTTATTTGCTCTGTGCAGGGGTGGAAACACTGACCAGTGAGAGCCAGCTGTGACAGGCACACTGTCCCCCTTGACATGGCAAGTCTTCCTTACCTTGACAAGGTGATAAGGGGGAAAAACAACCCCTCTCATTTTAACTGGGGACCGTTTAAAACCAGAATTTCTTCTTTTGTAGATGCATTTTGGTGCCTAAGTGTGCCAATGCAGTTGCAGATGGCTGCACAGTGACTGCACCAAGCATGCCTGGACAATCCATCCCTGAAGAACTGCCTCAAAGCGTTTCCATAGCACTCAACTTGCTTCTAAATTTACTCTGAAATTCACTCTTACACACACAGACTTCCTCAGTGCTGATCCCAGCTCTCTGCTCTGTACAGTCTTGTGATGTCTATCTAAGAAATTTTCCATGGATCTGGGAGAAGGGAAATGAAAGCATCTGCAGTCTGGCACTGCTGGGAGCATCAACCAATTTCTAAACCCTTTCATGCATCTATAGATCAAGCACAAACCATAGCAAAAACATTAAACAAGAGAATATGTTTTAGGGAGAGATCTGAGAGACCTTGATCTACTCCTCAAACACACAGCAAGTTTTGTGTCTCGACACGCCCGTGTGAGGAGTCGGTGTTTTTCCATCAGCCACGACTTCACTGAAGTGACTCAGGAGCTCCAGTGAAAAACCTCTATAAACATTCATGCCAAGTTCCAATGCTGCACTGATGAACCCAAAAATCAGAGTGGGGCTTAGGGACAGGAAGTGACCTCAGTACTACAAGACTCGAGGAATATTTTGTGTGTCAATTTTTAGCATCTGCCCTTAGAAAAAGCAGTATAAAGTGCAATACAGTGCACCACCGAGCTGAGTCTCTCAGGCCTGCAAGTCTCATCAAAGAGACGTTACAAAAATCTGTGTGAGACTTCAAACAATTCCCTCCTGCTTTGGTTATGCTGGCAAAAATAAACCCTTGAATTGGGAACAAGCAGCCCCGTGATGAATCTCCAGCATATTAAAACACTTCACTAGCAATCTGTAAAATCTACAAGCAACTACCATCTGGAAATAACCAAAACAAGTGAGTTAGGAATGATTTGCTTTCTGTAGAACTTTGAAATCAGTCTGCCTCACAGGGCTATAATCCAGATTAATTTACATATAAATTCTCTTTATCTCCGCTAAATCATATTGCTATTTTAAGAAATATGGCCTTTCCTAAATCAGATTTATGAGTGGTTTTGTTCTTACAATTACACTAAGTTGAACTCTGGCTACTCTTTGTGCTACTCTTCTTTATATATGCTCAAAGTAAGCCTATCTAATTCTTTTACCTTGAACATACTCACCCATCTGTGGCCAAACTGGACATAAACACAAGCAATTTATTCACGTCAATTAAAGTTTGCTCTACTACTTAGAAGGCAGTACTTTTTACTAACCTGAACTAACCAGCAAGATTCACTGAGTTTTCATCACAGCCATAGCAGTTTCTCCATGTAAGCATTCAAATTTTCCTTTGTAACTTTTCAACTTCCTTCATTAATTCCTCATTTCATGTTTCCAACAGTAAAGCAAAGTTATAAACCACCTGAATTGCTGGTGAAATGCTGACTTGAAATTGAGAAATCAGCAGGTTTTCTGTTTAAAAGTTTGCAATACTTCAAAGTGAAATTTTAAAGAATTTAATATCTATTTGACATATTACACTAAGACAGCATGGTTGGATTAATTTCTAGGTCCCTGGACAACAATCCATCCATGCATTCCTTTTCCAGTTCTACTGCTGAGAATACTGTTACTGTGATTCTCTTGATGAATTGAAGTGGTTTTGGTGTCCTTTGGGCTGCATAGCCTGGGTTAGCCCAGACTACCTTCCCAGGCTGTTTGAGCTGACCTGGCTAACGTGAGAGCCACAGCCAGGAGGCAAAGACAGCCCCCCGAGGCCGAGCTCCAAGGCAGTCATCTCTGCAGAGGGGAAGGAACCTGCAGCAGGATGGGAACTAAGTCTGGAAGGTGGATGGATGTCTGTGGCCAAAGGATCAGGTTTTCAGAGGCTGACGTGCCACCTCCACTTTGCTCAGCCTGTAACACACCACAGCACTGCACTCCACGTTCCTCAGCAGCGCTGAACCTCCAGCACCTCCTTCCCTCTGAGCTCCAGGAGCCCCCACACTGCTGGCTTCTCTCCTTTCTGACAAACATCCAAGCAGCTCCCAGAACCACTTGGGTCTTGTCTGGAAGCAAACCAGCTCACCCAGCTCCCCCATCCCAGGCCCTGTGGCAGACCCAGCCATGGAGAGCTAAAGGCCTCCCAGCCCCAGGAGAGATGATAAAACCAGCCAAAACCACAACTACAGCTGCACTGGGGAATACTTGAAATGTAACTTTTTCGTGTTTTCCCAAACACAGGGATACACAACCAACAGTCAACACATTCCTTTTGAAAGCCTCTTAAATGCTGCTCAACACAGAGTGCTGCAAGCAGCCAGGACACAACCCAGACATGCTTGTGGGAGAGGGTATGGTGGTGTGTTAGGGGACCACGAAACTGAGAACCCCTTACAAGCTCAGGCCATGAGGCTCCATTGGCACAAAAGCCCTTTCACACAAGAGCTTTGCCACGGGGGCACTTGGGAGAGAAACACAGATGATGTCTGTACTGGGGGAGCTGAGGTGGTTTCCCAGTGCTGGGACCACAAGGTGCACCCCCAGCAGGGGCAGCCCAGAGAGGAGATACTCAAACACCCAGGCACTTGAGCTGGTCCAAGCCCTGAGCAACCTGGTCTAGTCAGACTCGTTTCAAGTAGGAAACTTCACTGGAGACTTCCAGAGGTCTCTTCCAACATGAATTATTCTGTGCTCTGACTGCATGACTGGAAGAGGTGTGGTGTGAATCATCACCCACTCCTGTGGAGTGAGCTCTGGCTGCAAGCAGGGCTGGCAAAGTCTGATCCAGGCCCCTGTGGTCTGGTCACTGCTGAGAGCAGGACTGGGAACAGATGTGCCCTGCTGAGCATCTGCAGATTAGGAGCAGCCAGACTGAGCAAAATGTGGCAGGATGTTAATGCCTCTGTCTGTCCATCACAATATGTTTAACGTGCTGCTTGTCTTATTGAAAAGTCATGTTAAAAGCTACCAGTGTATTTTGACTAAACAAAGATATTTAAAAGGAACATATGCATACATAGAAAAAAAGCCCAGAACCATCAGATTTAAATTTTAAGCTTAAACTACCTCACAATGTTTATTTTTGAAACAGACCTTTCAGTTGTGTAGTCTAAAAAAGACAGAGGAGCTCAGTGCAGAGGTAAGCAACTATAGGTGGGCAACAAACCCACCAAAGAGCAAGGCCAGCTCCTGCATCTGCAGCGTGTTAGCCTCCTCCCACCCAGCCCAACCTGAGCAAGCATACGGAGAACACCAACCAGAGAGGAATCCCACTGTGAAGCAAAAACTGCTGAATACACAGTTTATAAACAGATTCCATTGGGGAGCTAGAGGAACACACAGTGAAGTCAATTTTCCCTGAACCTCAACATTCTCCAGTCTGTTAATGACCAAAACCAGTGATTTCCCCAGAAAAGTCCAGCATGTCCTATCACTAAATGATTTTAGGTTCAAGGCAGACACATCAACAGACAGCTCTGCTTTCCCTGTCCAGGGCATTCTCTGTAAAGTTATGGCATGAAAGACAGTACTTGCCACAATAGGTGTAGATGAGTTTGGAGTCTATGAAGCGAACTTTGAGGTTGTGCAGCACGGCGGGCTCGTGCAGGTAGCTGAGTGCTGTCAGGTCGTTCTCACCAACCAGGATGTCGGGGTTCCGCAGGGGCGGCAGCTCCTTCGTCTTCGGGTCGAGGCTGTACTCTAGGTCCTGGAAACAAACGGGCACCCTTCAAAGAGCTGCTGGCTACCTTTCCTCCCCCACCTCCTCCAGCTGCTCCTCCCACCAAAACGTGCACAAGGTAAAGAAACCACAGTGCAAGATTTCTGATCTCTGGTGATTTGAGTCAGCAGTTCTTTCTCCAAAAATGTCATCTAAAACTTCCCAGAGGGGTTTTCTATATGTACCACTGCATAGAGACACCATCATTTTGGGTTATTGCTTCTGCAAACCCCATGCTTTTGCTGCCGTATCTTTTTATTATATAAACCAAAATACACTATACCATAAATCCAACCATCTTTTCCCTATTGCTTTCCTCTTGAGTGGAACAGGCAGGGGAAGAAGATTCCCACCAATCTACAGCCAGTTTCATACATGGTAGCACAACACGGGAACGTGGGCAAAACACCATGAAAAACACAAACACTGAAAAAATGCTGTTTAGAACTTTTTTCAGAAATAAATTAATCTCTTATATAGATGTTCTAATTGCATCTGTCTCTAGATCTAGAATCACTTTATTTACCTGCTATTTCCATGAAAAAAAACAACTCAAAGGATGTGAGCTGTACATGGACAAGTCATCACTTCTCAACACAGTACACAGCACCTTCTTTGCAATGTCCTTAATCCTTGCCTTTTTTATCTTTATTAATTTCTGCTGGTTATGTTCAACTTAAAAGTCACAGTTCTTTCTGCAACACTGTTCTCCTAGCAACCCTGTCTCCCCGGAATAGCAAACCAGGGCTATACATTTAATGGCATAAGTAGAAAAAGATGATGCCACTGAACATAACAGGCAGTGGATGAAAGCAACTGCTTTTTAATTTATTTTAAAAACAAGTCAAAATTGATTTTGTAACTAAACAGTAAAATTTATCACACCAAAAAAATTGCTGCAGAAAGTGAGTGGACAAAACCAACTGCACACATCTAAATACAGATATATTTTGACAGAGCTTCCTGCAATAGAAACAACAGACTCTGGTTGAGAACAAGAGCTATCAGCTTACAAACAATACACAGACTTACCTTGCCCTCTTCAAGTCGAAGCTGAAGGACTTTATCTCCAGGTTTATAATCTTTGAGGAGTTCTGCTGACTTCCACACCTCCTCTGGATCAGGGATCCAAACCCTGGCATACTGCAGTACAACAACAACAGGAAAAGATTCGTGAGCTTTGGTTGCACTATAGTTAAATCATTGAAATAAATGACACTAATTTTTTTTTCTTTTTTAAATACATGTTTAACAGACAAAGCCTTAAGCAAGAGGCAATTTAATTAGTACATCTAAGGTGAATAACTTGTTCTATTGATAAATGGCTGCACAAGCATAATTTTATTGCCTATACAGAGAGAAAAAGGCATTTTCCACGCAGAAGGTATTCCAAGACACACATTCAATACTGAAAATCTACAACTTAAAAAAAAAAAAAAAATCAGCACTTTCAGAAAGATCAAAAATTTGTCTATCCAAAAACATTACTTGGAGCAACTCTTTTGAGTAGGTTCTAAATGCATTTGTAGCATAATATTATAGAGCCATTTTTGTCTTCTTTTTCCCCAAAGAGAATACTTCAGCCCATCTGTGTTAATTTAGGCAAAGCTGCCTGATCAAGTGTTAAAGCTCTTCCTTTGTAGTTACAAACATGGCTAGTTTAAAATTGATTATATTCAGAATGCCAAAAGAAAAAAAAAACCCTGAAAGATTTGGTTGAAAAGACCTCCAGATGAAAGAGAAATACACAACAAACCAGATTCCCATTAATGACCATTTTCATACAAACTTTATTCAAAAAGTGACCCAGTGCAAACATATGATTTGTTTTCAAAACCAGCAAGAATATTCATATTTTTCAGTGAGTGAAGATAGAATGGTTACCTCTTGCAAATAATTTAATTAATTTGCGAGAATCAATTAAAGATGTATGGAAACCAGCTGGTCACTTACAGAGTCACATGGACATGCAAATACACAGATATGGAAACAGCTCTTGAGTAGAACAAGGAAAAAGCTGTGACATTTTTAATATGTTCAAGCTCCTGAAGCCATGCTCCTGCTATGCCTCGAGAGCATGGAGATCACACCACACCCACCACCTTTGCAAACAAAGCAGCTTCTTGGCTCTGGAGGTGTTCGTGCACCTCACTGCAAAACATTCTCAGTCCACTAACTTATTTCAAAATAACTATATTTTAATAACTATATTTGTCAAAGCATTTGATGGCAGAGAAAACTGCATTTAGTCATACAGCTTCACCACCTAATCTTACACAACTTCTTTTTGTATAGCCTCCTCTGCCTCAAAGAATGCTGAAGGGGTTTTTTTTTTCCCCCTTATTAACCCAGTTTTCCCACTACAGAAAATTAGAAACTGCTCATTTCTGCTAGGGATTTTGTGAAAGACTTCACTAAAAACTTCATATTGCTTTCTTGCTGCAAGACAGGGCATGATAAAATGTGTTGAGCAGCAGTTTGGGGAGCAGGACTATCGTATCAGGGTGTCCCCCATGCAGCAAATAATGTGCTCTGACTCCATGATTCAGAAGGCTGAACAATTGCTTTATTAAAACTATACTATATTACATCAATACTACATTAAAACTGTACCAAAGAAAAACCCATGACAGTCAGACACAGCTTTGAGCGACTGGATCACTCAAAACAACTTTCACCAGTGTCCAATTAACAAATCATTTTGGGTAGATAATCTCCACAACACATTCCACATGTGCAAAAACAGGAGCAGTGAATAGAGATAAGAAGTGTTTTCTCTTCTTCTCTTTGTGCTTCTCACTGCCTTTCCAGAAAACAACCCTTGGGAAGGTGTGCCTGCTGCTCTCAGTGCAGAGCTGTGGCCACCCAGGACCCTGAAGCCCCAGACCCAGGAGAGGGAAGTGACCTGCCCAGCTCCTGCAGCAATTCTGAACCTCAGGAAGCAATTTGTTTCCCATTCCTGTGATGATCCTCAAGAACACTGCAGATGGGTAATGTACAACAGCCTAACCCAATGGCTTTTACCCTCAACACATGGCAGCCTTCAAAGCACTGCCTTCACCCCCAGAGCTGCTGCACAGCTCGTGCCCACACACACAAACCACTGAAAGGAGAAAGAGAATGAAATAAATAAATAAATACTCGCTTTCTTCATCCCCACTACACAGTATGTCATGCTCCCACACCTGGTCTTTCTCCATCATCACTGGGTGTTACTGCCAGCCCTATGAATCTACTTTATACCAAGACAAGGAGCTTTGTCTTTGTAGTCAATTTGTGCTTGTGTGGCTACTTTTTCTTTTTCTTTGTTAGTTCCATATGTATTTGCTAGTGTTTTGAGTGCAGAAGTGCTGCATTACTTTATTATTTATATAATCTTTTCCCTACCCCCCAGGAGATAAATTATTTCAAAAACAGAAGATGCCCAAAACAATTACTCAGTACGTGCTCCTGCCAGCCCCAGAGCACGGTGTAACAACGGAGGAGAGCAGCAGCAGAAAGCATGGATGGGCACTTGGATCAGCTGGTTTCAGCCCTTTGGGATCCCCAATTCACAAAGCAAGGAACTTTGGGGTGAAATGAAGGTCTGTGCTTACAAGTGTATGTGCAATGCAAGCACAAACCCACAGAAACTATAATAAGTCCAAAATAATTAAACAGGAGTTGACAGTAGAGGTGCCATATTAAAGCCAAGGAGAGTGCTAAGGAACAATGTTTTCTTTCCTTTCCACCTGATTTGAAACAAAAGATACTTTGTAATAATTCACAAATCATAAGTTCATTATTTCATAGAATAGTAATTTCAAATCCTAAAATCATAAGATCCATATATTCAAACACAGCACAATACACCTGTTCTCACAATTCTTTTATTAAAAAAAGACAAAAAACAAATACCAAAACAAAAAGCTAAAAACCAAAACCCTGCCAGAAATCAGGTAATTTTTTTCAGTTTAACAAAAGATGCTCCAGCATCAGACACAGCTGAAGACTGAATGCATACCACACCTTGACCAGGTTCTATCCCCAACTTGCAGCAGAAGTTCCCCACCCCCAGTACTTCTGATAGGACATTTCTTCCAAGGAATTAACAGAAAGCAAAGTAAATGTGAAAGAGGAAAGCATTTAAATGCCGTCTAGCAGAAGGAATCAGCAGGCTGGATTCCCTTAGGCTACACAAAGAAAAGTTTCCTGACCTAAGAAAGGCAGCAGCCTGAAAAACAAATGCTGATAACCTGAAGCAGCAAATGCTGTGCAGCAGTTTCTCACTCTGCAATCTGTGGCAGCATGGAATAGGCATCTTTAATTTATCCAGCTAAAACTGTACATTTTATACCTTCTAGACAAGGGAAGGAGAAAGCAGAAAACAGATCACCATAGAAACAGCGCCACTACAGACAGCAGAACCTTCCATGACACAACCCTACAGACATTAAAGCCATCCTATGAGCGCCAGGCTGTAGCTTTTCATCTCCAGCACCAGTGCCTAGCCTTAAATCCCTGCCAAAGAAAACACCTGGTAAAAGGAATGGGTGGGAGGAAAGAGAGAGATGTTCCTAATTATAAGTACTGAATCATTTCTCAACATTCTCACCTCATTAACTTAGCAGAATGTTTTGCAAAATCAGATTTTCATGCTTTTATATAATAAGTTGATACTAAAATTCCATTGCTGCCTAGCCTTTACTGGGATCCAACCCTACAGAGGAAAACAAAGCACCAGCACTGGTGGAAACAGGACCAAGGGCCTCTCTTGGGAAATACCTTACTCTGATATCTGCTATTCATCCCTCTTTATTTACTAGTATATAAAATAGGGTTTATGACAAGATTGGAAAAAGGCTAAAATAAGATAAAATTCTAGAGCTACTGATTTACAAATCAGCCTTCTAAAAAGGGAAGGCAATTCTAGTTTAAAAATGACTAGGCTGTCTAACATTCTAGCACTGAAATGACAATATAAATTACAGCAAGAATCAAATTAATTTTAGCTTAATCATCCTAATTATGATCCATGAATACATTACTCTTCGTGGTAGTTCAAGTCAAATTTTGAACCACGAAAATAAAACTTCTGACAGGGGAGATACAAGTGTGACTTACTGCAGAAAAGGCCATGAAATAAAATTTTGGATAAATATTGCTACCTTTCACGTTAGCCCAAATTTACCACTAGTGTCACTCGCACTTTCTATTTCAGTACTGATTTGGCTGTTAGTTCCAGTAATTGATCAGTGATCAGTATTGATTTCGGTACTGATTTGGCTGAAATAAACGAGCTCTGCTGTCCTCCTTCAGTGGGTGTGACTGTGGCCCAGCAGCGCTGACTCCTCTGTCACTGGAGGTGCGGGATGGGGGAGCTGGGGGGACACACAGCACATCCTCCCCCCCACAACACAGGGCACCTCCAGCTCCTAACCCCAACCAGCTCCAAAGTCAGAATGAAAATAGAAGGGATACCAAGGAGACGCCCTGGAATCCAGAAGAAAAATAAATAATTAAATGCATAATGACAGGACTATTTCAGATCTCAGCTTCCTGCCTAGACTCTCTTCCAGCCTCAGCAGACCAACATAAAGAAAACAGCATCTCCAAAACCCCCTGGAAGTGTGAAGTGCTGTGCTTTGTTCAAGGAAGGGCAAGCTGGGCAATAGTTTATAGACATCTATAAAGCAGCTTGAGAGAGTTCACAGCAGAAAACAAACACAGAAGTTTTCACATCTTACTGGTGGGTCAGAAGGCTGGCTGGATTACTACAACTTTACATAATAAGAAAATATAATAGAAAATCAGAGTATTCTGTCATACCTCGTGATTTCGTCTTAGATCACATGGAGAAATCAGCAGACTATAACAATTATCTATCAAATGAGACCATATGACTCACAAAGCCTCTCTGCTGAGATGTTAACCTCTTGAGGTTCTAATTGACACTGCTGACAGCACGGAATTAGCAATGCAAGCGGCTCAGCAGTCTCGGCAGCAGGCAAATCGTTTCCTACTTCCATTGCACAATCACAAACACAGAAGGAGGAGATACAGCTATCTTCCCAACTCCACAGCTCTGTGCCTCAGAGCTCAAAGAGTTCATTAAATGAGCTACATCCTAGAAGGAAAAAGGAAATTTCAACTCGGAGAAAGCT